AAACTATTTGAATTCTCTTTGTATATTTCACGTTTCCTGGGAGTTTATTTAAACAAACTGAAGCAAACCAATCGTTAGTTTTCATTTTTCAATTTTTTTTTTTTTTGTAATTTGAGCGGCCAAATTTAACCAACACTATGGGCTATGGGCCTTTTTTTTTTTCGGTTTTGAATTTTTTTATTAGGTAAATTCTGAAATTGACATAAATCTACTCTATAATTAACAAATTGTTGGTTAGCACTAGTAGTCATTCTTATTTTTATGGTACCTAATTATGAGCTAGTCACATTTATTCATTTATTTATGTAGCACAAAACTAGCTAGAGCTCTCTACACACAACTAATCAAAAAGCTCACTCTACATGAGCCTAGCCACTTCAAAACTCCAGCAAAGCATACTACTTCTTCTCTACATACTTGAAGCCAGTTGGGATTGCTTATGCCTTCTCTGTGCTGCTCCCTCTTCTCGAGGCAGGCACAAAATAAGAATGCTTCTGACTGGTCAATATTTGTTCCATCTCTTGCCCAAATGTCAGCTCCGTAGCCTCTCTCTCCATCTGCTTCATTATGTTGCCCTCTTGCCCTGCATATATTGAACAAAGCAGAGAACATATAATTTATATACACGCCCAGTTAATTAAAACAAAATGTAATTATTAAGCATATTAAGTCTGTCTTGATTAACAATTTACCTGCTAAGAAGTTCCTAATGTTGTTTCCGGCATTGATTCCGAATCCCACAATTCTCAAATTCTGGTTTTGGTTGCCGTTGTTGTTGGGGTTGTTGTTTTGGGCAACAATAGACACAGGATGGCCTGCTGGGATAACAAAGACATCACCAAGTGAAAGCTTGCCACTTACCTTGACGTACGCTCCACTCTGCTGATCTGCTTGCTCTTCTTGATACTTCATCTCTTCTTCGCTTGCTGGTATTGTGAACTTTGGGCAGGCCATTTCAAAGTATCCCATTCCATCTACCACCATCATCAAATATGTTGCTTTAGTATTGTAGTGTGGCACCATCATAGCTTCCTGCAAAAATTTCGCAGATTTTAAATTTCCCTTACTAAAAACATTTGCATATGGAATTAAATTTCTTCTGGGAATTAATGTTTTAAGTTTTGCCCTACCGGGTTGATGTCAAGCATAGCGACTGAGACATTCATGTCCTGGAGCTGGTTGAACTCCTGAGGGGGAGCCTCATAGAACTTGCCATAGTTGTTGGAGTGCAGAGGTCTTTGGCTTAGCAGATTGAAATTTAAATCACTATCCATAGACCAAGGGACTAGTTTGCGCCACCATGGAGAAGGTTGTTTACTCAATGCCTCGAGTTGCTCTTTTGAGGCTCTTATGATCATGCCCTCCCGCTTCTGCTGTCCAAAGGCCTTTTCTAGCTGCTCTCTTGGGACCTGATAATCAAATTAGTAATTAGTGTAAATGAACAAATCAAAAAGAAATAAAAGAGAAATATTTAAGGAAGAAAAAAACAAACTTACATCAAAGGCAGCTTCAAGAAGGTCACTGCTGAAAACGCTGTAGTATGACTCGGTACCGTGCAAAAAGCTATAGTCTGACCCGGGTTCGGGATCTTTATAACCAGCAGGGAAGAATTCCTGCATCCAATGATCAAAGCAATTCCTAAAAAAAATCTATAGAAGTTTTTTTCCTAAACGAAAAGAAGTAATTCATTTTCACGTTTCTATGCGAAAATTTGAAGTAGGTTTTTCTAATAGCTAGCATAGAAATTCGAAAAACAAAAATTTAATTACCTCAAATAGGTCAGGAGTGTTGACTGGCTGAAAGAGCTGTACGAGACTAAGATTTTCTGTGGTGTGATTGTTAATCAAGTAGGTGGTAGCCCCGGCAGGAACTCTAATTACATCTCCATTTTCAATCTTGAAGGACTCTTTCGTGTCCTTCATCACAAGAGTGAGAGTGCCTCTTCCTGTAAATTGTAATTCCAATTCATTAAGCAAAACAAAATCGACTCAATTGTCAACAGAAAACAAAAGAGAGACGTCTCACCGTTCCAAACAACAAAAATGGATTCAGCGTCGAGGTGGTAAGGGAGAACAAAAGTGCCAGGCGTAGTCTGAAGCAAGGCCGTGCGGTAGTTTTGAATTCTTCCCCGGAGCAAGTGCGAGAGCCTGGCAAAGCTCTCAAGGACAAAATAGGCACCTTCTTCAGCCAAAAACCGAGGCCTCAACTCGAACTTGGGGAAATAGTAAGGGTTAGGATTAAAAGTCGGCCCCTCCTCCTCTTGTCCCTTCTGCTCTTCAGCTTCTTTCCTCAATTGCTCGTCAAATCGCTTTCGACACTCTGTCTCGCACTGTTCGGGGTCCTCACTCGTTCCGCAGCTCTGCGAGCAATAAAAGTATTCCTCTCGAGCATCTTGAGGATGATCTTTGGATCTTAACAAGCTATGGCGGCCGCCAAGGCCTCTGCAAATCGACTGCTGGCATTTCTGATTATGATAATCACTGAGGGCGTTGATCAGTGGTGTTACAGAGGAGGAGGCTAGGAAGAGAGTGGAGAGGAAGAAGAAGAAGAAAGGGAGCTTATAGCTAGCTTTGATGGTGATCTTGATCGCCATGTTTAGGGCTAAACCTTGTTATATCAGGTGTTTGTTTGTAGCGAGAGGCTTTTAATAAGGCAAGGCTGAGCATGCAGTGTGTACACTTGGCCGTGCACATTACATGCAAGGTGACCAGTGTCCTAGCCATCTGAGAAAATAAGGACGAATATATTTTGTCAGACTAATATTGAAAGGAAAATGCTAGCCAACCATATTTTTATACAGTATTGTGTACCAACTCTAACCTTTTATTAGAGAGGTGACTCGTTGTATTGGTGGGTTCTATTTTTATTAGAGATGTGATATATAAATATGATCAGTTTAACATAATTTTTTTTCGCTACTATTTAAATTTTTTTGTTTAATAATTTCTGTTAATATTTTTGTTTTTTAATTCTTGGGATAGGGGCTGTGGACCGTGGTTTTTTTTCCTCCATCCTTTACTTTTTTTGTTTTGTAATTTCTTAAATATTTCAACTATATAGATTTATTTGTATTATTAATTATTGAAATTATAAATCAAGCAAAGTTGGTATATATATATATATATATATTGTTTATAAAGAGGTCCAAATGAGGCATAGTATTTTAAAGCATTTTTTTTAATATGATAAATATATACGGATATCAAACTAATTTGTAAAATAGTTTGCAAACAAAAAATTTTGGTAAAACGTCGGTACATTTGGCTGAGCATATTACATGCAAGGTGACCAGTGTCCCTAGCCATCTGAGAAAATAAGGACGAACTTTGTCAGACTAATATTGAAAGGAAAATGCTAGCTAACCATATTTTTATAGCGTATTGTGTATCAACTTTAACATTTTATTAGAGAGGTGACCCCATTGTATTAGTAGGCTCCATCTTTATTAAAGATGTATATAAAAGATTAAATGTTAAAATAATTCATGTGTTTTATCTCATAGGCCAATTTAGTCCATGTGTTATCAATTTGGCCAATTTGATCCTTGTGTTTGTATATGTTAGTCATTGTGGTTCATTCCCTTAAAAATATAAAACATAAAATATTAAAATTAACTAGCCTCTTCGCACGCACTTCCGCGCCTACAAGAGGCTTTTTTAAAATTTAAAAAAAAAAAAATTTATTGTAGAATTAAAAATACAAATTTATAAATAAACCCAATCCTAGACATGTGTTTATAAAAAAACTCAAACACTCTTTAAATATAGAAACACACCCAAAATCAACCCTAAAATCAACAATTGTATATTTTTTGGGTGTGTTTATAAATGGGTTTTGAATGTGTGTAATGATGGGTTTTGGATGTGTTTATAAAGTGTTTTGAGTGTTGGATTTTTTTATAATTTCAGCCCCCATTTTGGGTGTGTTAGTGAAACTCCCAATTAAAAAAGATAATAGGTTGTGGTGTTTCTAAAAAATAGGATTCATTATCTGAATTTTCTTTTAATTTCAATTTTTTTAATATGAAAATGTATGAATTTACCATATTATCCTTATTTAATTAATAATTTTAATTCTTAATATTTGGATTAACTAAGGGTATTTTCTGGTATTTTGAATGTTTCACAATTTTCTGCCTTTTGCTTTATATATACTAGCCTCTCTGCACGCGCTTCCGTGCTTGCGAGAGACTTTTTTTAAAAAAATTTAAATTTATTTTAGAATTAAAAAAGATAATGGACAGTTATGTTTCATAAAAATAGGATCCATTATCTAATTTTTCTTTTAATTTTAATTTTTGAAATATGAAAAAGTGTGAATTTACCATATTATCCTTGTAATTGATTATAAAATTTTAAATTTAATCTGAAAATGGAATATGTTGTTTTTAAATTTTATCTTCCTCAATTTCACACACACACCTTAACCACAGCCCAAACCCAGCCACCCTTACCATCACCACTCCAACCCTAAACCCATAGCCACCCTCACTACCATTCCAACCCCACCTAAACCACAACAACTCTCTCTCTCTCTCTCTCTCTCTCGGCTTCCTCTCTGACAAATCACGAAGATCTTCATAGCTGGTCGTCATATCCTTGATGGCTCTACCGCCAATTGATCATCCTCGTTGTAGCAAAAGTCGACGACATTCATGTCAATGGATCAGAGAGGAGAGAGAGAGAGATGAAGGGTAGAGTATGAGAAAATCTAAAACATAAGAGAAAAGAAAAATTGCAGCAAGAAAATAGGAATCAAGACCATTGGAGGTTGAGCTTGTGTGGGTTTTAATCATTTTAGCATTATTATTATTTGAGTTTAAATCTTTATAATTAATTACAGATTTTTAAATTAATTTTAAATGTCCTTCTTTTAGGTTTCATCAAAATTTTGAAGGAAATGATCAAATTTGTTAACAAATACAAACGTACAGGGACTAAATTGGCCAAATTAATAACATGGGGATTAAATTAGCCAATAAGGTAAAACATAGGGACCATTTTGACATTTAAGCCATATAAAAATGTGGTATGTCTAGCATATATATATATATATATATATAGTTTCTACAGATGAGATATATACTAATTGATCGGTGGTGGTGTTGTTGACAAGTTATTTGAACCCACTACTGTAACCGGGGTTAAGGTCGTGGGACGCTTCATTGTGAGTTGTTGGACTGCTTTTTTAATTATAGACTTTGCCATGGACTCCTTCGCCTCTTGAGATATGTCACCCCTGTTCAAATCCCACTGTACTTTGTGCCAGGAGACTATAGTTGCCAAGTCCTTGGCCATGAGAGCAAAGGCTTCCACTTTTGTCTGACTTTTGAGGTGTTTGGTGGAGATCGGAAGTTCGGTGATAGAGGGTGATACCGAACTCAGAATCTCTTCCCCATAAATCTCACCTTTCCCAAGGGGCTTGGCCGCTAATAATGTCGAAATATTTGATGGGGAAGCAGCAGCTTCATCACCACCACCACCACTAGTACTAGAGTAAGTCCACATAGTCCCTTCAATAATGACGAGCAAGCGATCCAGTGGATCTCCCATTCGGAAGGGGAAGCTGTTCTCGTTGTACATCACTGGCTTCAGATATTCGCACATCATTTCCAACACTTTATTACTCATGTTTTTAAGCATGGGCACCTACACACACATATATATATACACTTCATTGAAAAATAATTAATCAAATCCCTTACTGATAATGAAGTGGAGGGAAGGAGAGAGATCGTGGTTGAGGAACATACTGCCTTAAATGCGTCCATGCAAAGACAACGCTTTAGAGATGTTCTGGTTTTCCAGGGAAGCATAGAGTATAGGTCATTCTGGAGATCAGCATCTTTGTGTTCTTTCAGTTTTTGCTTTACGCTTTTCATGATTTCTTTCTTTATAACATCAGGGAGTTTATTTTTGGATATCCAGCTTTGTATATCTAGCTTCTTTATCTTAATTTTTTTCCTCATCTTCTCTGATTGTGTAGCTTGCATCTGCATAAAAGTCTGTCTCCCCAACAAAATCACAACATTATATATATTGGATGAACAGGGGCCCTGAATAAATTAAGCTCAAATATAAAATTATAATATAGATATATAAATTCAATATATACCAACCTGCACATTTCCAATCAGATATAGAAATAGCAGCAAGCCAATGACAGAAATAAGAATTGCAAACAAGTTTTCCCACACATACGTACTTGTTGTGAGATTCGTGCCAAAGTTACTGCAAATATATTACTCACATGATCAAGCAGTATCACAGATGCTAATTACCCATGAGCTTGCTAGCTTATAAACAATTATAATATTTGTTGCTGAGCTACATACCTAAGGTTTCGCAGGCCCCACCAAAAAGAGTAAAAGAACTTCGTTCCAAACTTGATGTGCTCCGTGTTTTGATTCTTAAGGGAATCAAGAAATATTCCAAAATCAAATGACGACGTAGCATTATCACCGGTATCCAACGGGCAATGCTCGTTCACAAACGTGATATTTCTTGAAGTAGTAGCTTGACCATTGCAGTAGACAGTGTTGGTGCATTGTGCGAAATCGATTTTATGGTTTATGCAGGCCTGGTGCCAGCATGATATCTCTCGTTGAATAGAAAAGAAGTACCAAAAAGCTCCGAGTATCTAAAAATAAAAAATGAATTAACCAACTTCTTATTAATTAATGATTAATTGATGCATTAAGAAAACTTCATGTATATATGGAGATGTTATGAATTTCTACATTAATGAAATTAAATAGGCAAAAAGTAGTTGTCTTGTTACAATTGGTGACAAAAATAAGTTCGAAGGGTACCTCCGTATAAGTATATGTGTGTATGCATACATATGTAGCTTTATTAAACACCACTTAGCCGGTCAATGGGTCTAACTCAATGGAAAAATACATTGACTTGCATATCAGAGGTATTCGAATCCTCAATTGTGTGTGTGAGAGAAATCCTTCTCCCCTATAGTTTAGACTGTCGTTTGTACTATAAAAAAACACCAGTTACCCCAATAGACATGAAACGTCTAGCAACTGATCAAGTAGTAAGTACGGGAGACCTTCCTCTTGCTATTTACAAAGAAAACTCTACTTGGCATGAATCAATTTATCCTTACAGAAATTATAATTAAACAATGTAATAGCGGGTTTCCTTTTGAGTTATTAACAAGCCAAATATTATGCATACATCTCATAAGCCAAATGGTGTTCATTTACAACTAGACTCACTCTACTTATGGCTTTTATATATGTTTCCTTCAATTTATCTAAATATTTTAACAACTTTCTTACCACCTTGTTTAAAAATATTAAATAAGTGAAAAACATCACACACACACACAAAACAAAAACAAAAACAAAAAAGCCTAAACCCTTTTTATAAATTAAAAATAATTAAAAAATCATTTTACATTAGTAATTACCAAAAAAAAAAAAATTGAAATGAATTGGGATGAGACTTACATGACTTGCAAGAATATAGAGGAAAAAATTGAATAGACCTTTAACCCATATTCCAGTAGTCCTTTTGAGTTCTTTGGAGGATATGTGAATTCGGTACATCCTTGGTAGGTATTGACCAAGAAGAAGGATATTCATAACCTTTTTATGTTCCAAATATCCGAAGCCCCTCATTTTGTCAAAAGTAGCTACTATTAGCAGCTGGAGAAAATAAAATTTAAAAAAAAAAAAGGAAAAAAAGAAGAAGGGTTAATTAGATTAACTATGTGGTTAACTTAACATTAAGAGCTACACACAATGATTAATTAGAGTTCAATTTGTCTTACTTGCGGGATGGGAAGGAGAGCGAAAAAGTCAATTATGATGGAGACAGATAACCACGACATTATTTCCTGGGCAACTCCAATCAACCTTAATTTTGATTTGGGACCCGAATGTTCTCCAGTTTCTACCTTGGAATTGGAATGTCCATTGCTCTGGGTGATTGGGGCCATAGTTTTGAGGGTATCTGATGCCAATTTAGTCCCCAACGGCGACGGTGACTGCGACGACTTTTTCTTGGTTTGAGTTTTGAGACCGTCACAGATTTCATAGATGAAATGCAGCAGGAAAATGATATCCGTGAGTGATCGTAAAACAAGAGCAACAGTCTGCAACACTTTGTCCATTTGAAGGCACTTGTTTAGCTGATCGATGATTGGAATGTAAAAGAACAAAGGGTCCAGTGAGACAGCAAACACACACGATATTACAAACATCTTATTCCATATGTAACCGTATTGCCCCTGTGGATTACAAATCTCCTTTATTGCGGCGGCATACATTTTCCCCGTTTTAACCCGTCTGGAAAATGACACAAACAAACATTACCAAAATTGCACCCATCATTGAAACTCTCTCTCTCTCTCTCTCTCTCTCTCTCTTTCTCTCTCTCTCTCTCTCTCTCTCTCATAATCTATACAAAAATTATTTATTTATTTATGTAAAGAAGTACTAACCCCTCTGATTTCTGCGTCTGCTTCTCCGGATCTGAAGCTAGTCTGGTGCTATCCATGAAAAACAATGCCAGATCAGTGTTGAATGCAGTACTACTTACTCGAAGCCTGTATTAACCAGACAGTGAAAGAGAAAATGGGATTTGTTTGAGAGAGAGAGAGAGAGAGAGAGAATATGGAAACTTAACAATAAAATTGAAATATCCACCAACCTCCAGTCCCCGCAGTTGAAATACCACCACAACTACTAAACATCAATAATTTCAATGACAATATTGGGCCCACATACCCCATTTTAGGATAAGAAGATGAAAAGAAAAAGATGTATGGGAACATATCATTAGTAAATATTCCAGGTCTGATCTTTGAATCTTTCATATATTATTAAAGAAAATTTCTGTCACGATGCACAGTAAATTGTAAGTATGATTATTGTCACGAAATTATTATTCAAGTTCTACTGCAGTTAGTTCTGCTGCATTTGATTAAAGTTTAATTTACGCAACTTGTTCAATTTCTGTTCAATTATTACGGGGACCGGCTGCATGCCAGAAAATTTTAAAAAATTATTATTATAATAAGGTGTTTTTGGCTAGTTGATCCACCAAACAAAAAACATTTTAGTCCATCTATCATATTACGAAAATGCAAGCTGCAGGATCTGTCTGCTACACATGTTCAACGGGTAGACCTTTTCCGGTGAATTTTGATCTTTCACGACAATGTTTTGCCGGCAAATATTGCTCTTCCCGACAACATTTCCTTTACCGGAAAATGTTTCCGACAAAGTTCGCCGCAATAGATCTTTCCCAGTAAATTTTGATCTTGCCCAATAAAGTTTTGCTGGGTAGACCTTTCTCGACAACTTTTTGCCTTTACGTATGGGATGGGGATATACGCATCTATCTCGTTCATTTAGGAGATGAAGTAGAAGCCGAGCCGTCTTAATTACATGGTTTTGCAGTCCATTTGAGTTTTGATTAGGATGCCCAATTATTAAGTAATTATAGCCATCGCATTTTTTTCTTGTGTAAAGAAAAGATAATGGATGTTTGATCAAACCATCCATTTTTTCTTAGGATGTCCGTTTCTTTTTTCTTTTTCTTTTTTTTCTTTCTTCCTCTTCTCTTCTTTCTCCTTTCTTCTTCCCAGGCCCCGTTTCTTTTGGCTATCGTCATCCAAACCAACTCCTCATCCAAATTCTTGTTATATAGACACCTGAAGTTTCCAATCAAACCCAATTCCAACACAAGCAACCCCAATCCAAAGATGTCCAAATGCAACAGTTTCATACAAATTCGTGTTTGTGGAGATATATACGCCACAAAGTCGAGCACTGCAATTCAGAGTCGAACACCTGCAATTTCAATTTCTCTCTCTTTGTAGTTCTCTATCCTTGTCTCTCTCTCCCTCCTGATCTCTCCATATTTTCCCCTTCAAAGCCCCTTTTCCTCTCGACCCTCACCCTCCTTTCTTCTCCCTTCTTCTTCGTTCCCCTTCTCTGCAACTCCTTTGCTCTTTTAGCTTGAGCAAGTTTAGGGTTTCTCTAATACAAGCCACCCATCTCCCACCTGCCAACCCATCTCTTACCCTAAGATATTCCCACCTTCTAACCTTGCCAAAGGCTTTGACGGCCTCTAAAACCCCAAACCAAAACAAACCCACTTGTCGTTTACGCCTAGAATCAAAATTCTACCAACACTATGAACTATTTTGAGAGAAGAGGAAGATATATGTGTTAACATTAATAATGAGTAGAGAGCACCTTCTTCAAAGAGAAAGATAGATGTAGATTTCATCTAATCTTTCACAGAGTAGCAAACAAATTTTTAAAGCAACACAACACTTTTCTGGAAGAATTTCTCAAACTTTTCTTTCTGAGAATCGACCTCAGGAAGCTTTAAAAATGGAGATGGAGGAGGCGTGAACTCTGGGGGAGTGGAAATTATGGCAAAAACATGTAATTTTTTAAAAACATATGAGGGTAGTATAGGGATTATGAAAGTTTCATTAAAAGCTCCACATGCTTCAAAAAGAAGCAGATTTTAAAAGCACCTTGCCACCCGCTTCTCAAATCTACTGCCACTGACCCGTGATTTTGGAAAAAAGCGACTTTCACTTGTTTTACCAAACACTTAAAGTCAGAAAATTTTAAAAATAAGCTGCGTTTTTAAAAAGCACAGCAACCCCAAACTAAGCCGAAGTAGAAGCGGTCTTACATGGTTTTGCAGTCCATTTGAGTAAAGAAAAGATAATGGATGTTTGATCAAACGATACATGCTCTAAGTGCTGCTTTATGGCCAAAAAGATTTGAATTAGCCAAGTCAGAATTGAAAACACATGCACAAAGATTTAAAAGTACTAGCTAATACTGAAAAACAAATTAACAGAAAGGGATAGAACTTGCCATCATTATAGTTTTATTAAGCTAGAGCTCTTTATTTCACACATACAATTTAAGTTAAAGCTCACTCTCCATGAGCTATAATACTCTCTTAAACTCTAGCACAGCCAACTACTTACATGCATGCAACTTCTATTGCATCAGGCTACCATTCTAATTGCTTGTCCTTGTTCAAACTGCTCCCTACACATCCTTTGACATTCCTGTTGCTGTGGACCATATTGCCCCTGCATCTTGCACCCTTCCTGGCATTGCTCTAGCTGCCTTATTTTCTCAGTACACTCTTCCTGGCACTGCTCCTGCTGCTCCCTCCGAGGGCGCTCCCATTGGCAACGCGACCGGCACTGCGCGCACTCATTTGCCCACCACAGTATTCCGCACACTCTTGCCGTCTCATTGGGTCACGCTCCGATTGGCAATGTTGCCGGCACTGCTGCTCAACTTGCTGCTGCTGCTGCTGCTGCCCCTGCATGCACGTTCTTACACACTGTAGCCGCTCCCGCGGATCTCTGGTTATCATCTTACATTGTTGCAGGCACTGGCGCCCTCCTCCTTGACCTTGCTGCTGCTGGCAAGCTCTTTCGCACATCTCTCGGTCTGGACTCCGGATGCATTGCTCACGGCACGGCAAGTGATGTCCCTGCTCCTGCTGCCGGCACATTCTCAGGCACTGTTCTTGCTGCTGCGGCCACCTTGCTTCCCTCATGCAACGATCTTCACATGACTGGCCATGGGATGAACACATTTGCAAGCACTCCCCCACTTTCGACTGATCAGATATCGAATAGCATCCTTCCTCGCAGGTGACCTGGGCACGAGCAGAAGGCACAGAGGTAGCAAGGAGAAGAGTGGATAGGAACAAAACCAACAAAGGAAGCTCAGTTTTGGTCATGGTCGCCATGCTTGTGCTCAAATATATACTGTGTGTTGAAGTGTGAGAATAGCTGAGAGAGAAAGCTGAGGTATTTATAGAAGCTCAAGGCTAAGCATGCATGCGTACATTTGGCTATGGGGATTACATGCAAGGTGACTGGTGTTCAAGGTGACAAAATTGACGTGTCGTTTTGAACTCAATGGACACTGATAAATCTTCTTCACGGAGATGGATAGAATCTGGAAATAAGGCCGAAAAAGGTTTGGGTTTGCAGAGACTAAAATGGCTGTATGTACCATGTGATGTGTTCTATTATGTGGTGGACCCTTTCTTATGTTTTTTATTTTATCTATTTTGTCTATGTACAATACCCGTCCCATAAAGATATATTCTTTTTTTTTTACTACATTCTAATTTTGGATCTAATTGCAACGGGTTATAATAGGTTTTTTAGGTTTTAGACATAAAAAAAATTTCACTTTTGGAAAAAGCCAAAGCTTTTTCAAAAAAGACAAAAAAACCACTCAACTTTCAAATCAAAGACATGCAAATGTATTGGATTCCTTAGGAAATCTAAAAATAAATAAGGGCATTTTTGTTCATTTTTGCTTCTTTTAAAATTTTTCTCTCTCCTTTTGCTTTTTCCAAATTATCCCTAATATAATTAACTACGTGAACTGGATTAAAACAATATAAATTACAGGAAAAAGAATTGAAATCATAGTCAAAACTATAATACGAGAATTGTTGAGTAGATATTTTGCACCTACGACTTAGATTTGATTGTAGGCCGTCATTCCACGGCTAAAGAGAAGTCTAAGATAAATTGAATACACATTTGATTTTATTTTTAAAAAATATAAATAATAGTCTAAATTTGTATAATATCCTATATTATTATTTTTTAATAATATATAATATATAAATATTATGTTAGGTCCAAACCAATTATTGTAAATATAAAAACACTTACTCAATCATTCAATTCAAAATTAAAAAAAAATGAAATTCAATAAAGGTCCACTCATTGTAAAAACAAAAAAAAAATTGCCCAATTACTCAATTCAAATTTAAAAAGAAGAAAATAAAAAAAGACCCAATTATATTTTAAAGTTATAGCTTAAATCAATTAACCTAGTTGAATCAATTAGGAAACTAAAAAAAGGCAAGGTAGAAAAACTTGATTATGTACAGTTAATTGATACTTTTAAATCGAAAATGCAAGACACATGATATTTAAGTGATGTTTTGATACATTTTATAAAGTTGTTGTTTAAATTATATATTAATTGTTTCTTTTATGTTACAATTGTGAATTTGAGTTTATATAATTTTTTTTAACTTACTGAAGAAAAAAAATTACATAAATATACATATAGAGTATAAAGCCCCATTTAGGATGTTCACCTAGGGCCTCCAAAACATAGACTGCCAATGTTTCTTACATACACCATACTAAAGTGTCATGAGGATTTGAACTTGTGAACACTGGTGTGCAAAATAATGCTATTTTTTATTAAGCTACACCCCCGTTGACCCATATCTGATTTTAAATCAAGACAACTACAATAATAATCTTAATTCATATGTAAAATTAGATTGTTGGTTTTTTTTGTTTTTTTTTTGTTTTTTTTTAATTTTATGGATTAGTGAGAAAACGATGTTTCGAAATTGGAACATCTTCAAACATTGAATTTTGAACCAAGGGCTTAATAGCTGACACCACATTCTTAAAACAAAAAAATAAAACTAGTTATACTACACAAAACAAAATTTAAAAAAAACCCCTACAAAACAAATTACTTCACGACTCACTTGAAATTTTCTGCTAAAAGCTATCGTATTCAAAGGACACAATAGTCTTCATTTTGA